AGGTGAGCACAGACAGGTGAGCACAGACAGGGGAAACATTCAGCCACAGTGTGAGAGTTTAATATTTATTAGAGCGACTCACAGCATGGCTGAAATTGGTGGACTAACATTTACAGGTGGAGCTACTGAGGAGGAAGTAATTACTGATAAGAATGCTGAGCATCATCGGGAAGTTTATTTGATCTCGTAAAACAGGTGTTGATGTCTCTGGTCGTGCACGTAAATTAAATAGAACATCATCTGCATAAATGTTGACGTTCTGCTGTTGATTCATGGCATTATTGATCACAGGAAGTCATGTTGGTAACTTGATGCTGTGGAGGGACCTTCTCGTATTTGCTTGGGAATGATGAAGCAGTGAAATGTACAATAAATTAATTCAACCAGCGAATGACGGTTTGTTTTCCTTAGATGGTGTGATCAAAGGTGTGATCCATATGAGACTGTCTGACGTACAAATTTAACCTGAGCTTTAAACTGTGTTAGAAATGAGAGAACGCGTCACCGCTGTCTGCAACTTGCGTCCTCGCCACACGACTGCTGCCCCAGCCGTGACAATTAGTTAGTATTCATCTCTCTTACTCTGGTTCTGCCGGACGTTTCTTAAATTTAATTGCATCACCACCTTCAGATAATTGCTGATGTTAGGATGAGTGAATGAAGGCAACCAGAAGATATCCTGCTCTGTTCCTGTGGTGTTAGGGTTATTTAGGAGGACAGCCGTGGCACCGGTAAACAGGGACTCACCTGTCTGAATGGAGTTAGGATGCGTGTCCAGGTACGTCGGCAGTGTCAGACCAAAGAACATGGAGAACCCAAGAACAAACAGATTTCTGGACGAGTTTAAATCGACCAGCTGCAGGTTTGACAGGCCGACAGCTGTTATCATACCTGAGAGAGACATATGGTTTAGCGCAGCAGTACCACACCTGAATATACACCGGTTACCGGAGACTTACCGAAGAGCGTGCAGAACATTCCTCCCAGGATCGGGTCGGGCAGCGAGGCAAACAGAGCTGTGAACTTGCCGACGGTTCCCAGGACAAACATGATGCCGGCACCGTACTGCACCACCCGCCTGCTACCTACCTGCATACAGGTGAACGGATCATACACTCACAAATTAAGCACAAGTTAACACGTGAAATTACACCTGAGGACATGAACACACCCTTTCAGGGTGTGTGGCTACCTTGGTGATGCTGAGGACACCTATATTTGGACTGGAGGAGGTGGAGCCGTTTCCTGTCCCCAACAGACCTGCAATGATGCAGCACACGCCCTCTATGAAAATCCCCCTGAAAACAAATTTAAAACAGACATGATCAACACCTGTTTGGGGATGGAGTCTGTCTCATAAGGTGTGTTCCTCTCTCACCTGTTGATTGCATGGATTGGAGGGGGCGTGGCTCCAGACAGGCGAGCACAAGCATAGTAATCTCCAATTGACTCCACGATGCCCGCCATCGTCGCACTCAGCATGCCCAACACCCCAGCAACCGTTATCACAGGCAACCCCCACTGGCCTATCAGAGAGAGACAGGAAGTCAGAGAATGTCATGTGATCATCATGATCCTTCATTCACTGATGCTCAGCTTAGCGTTAAAAACACACCTTCGGATCAGATTTGATCCCAGGCTGTACACATGAAGTCTGAAGTTACACAAAGTTCATAAAGTGACCACACCCCCTCTGAGAGCTCCACCCCCTTGCTCTAGGCCCTGAATCACTGACTCAGTGATTTTACAGTTTTTATGTGTTTATGTCGACGTTTTTGTTTAAGGTCAAACCGACTAACTAATCGAAGCAGTACAAACTGGCGTTCCTGCTGTGAGAAATAACAGACTTTCAGTGACTTATCAGTAGAAAATTTCTTCTAAATATGGCATCAACATGGACCCACACGGCAGGGGCGGGGCCTAGTGCTGCCTGCTGCAGGTAACACAGTGACTGTGGATCAGAACCTCAGAGAAACTGAAGTGATCCACCTCACCACCAACTCACAGTCGGCGCTGAAACAACCTCGTAACGGTGACACGGTGTCATTCAAACCTCAAACCACCTGGATACAAAGCATGACTGTCATTGGTTGGTGCCTTACATGGGTAAGGCATCCTGAACCAGGGCGACAGTGTCATGATGTCCCCTCGGGCATCAGTGCGACCTTTGTGTCCATAGCGATCAGGGTCTCTTGGCAACAGGTCGGTCAGAGTGAGGACATAACAGACGAACCACACCAACACGATGGCAAGGATGATCTGAAAGAGGGCGGAACAAAGATTCAAATTACGTCATCACTGACATCATCATCGATTTGTGTTTATCTTTATTTACAGGAAACATCTTGAAGATCTGCACTCTGGTGGCCCTCAGGCCTTTCTTCCTGCTATACACAGGAACAGGAAGTGATGTCGCCCTTAGGTACTGAGCAAACAGCACCATCAGCAAAATACACCTGCAGAGAGAGAGAGAGACAACTGTTTGTCCCCCCAGTGTGCTATATTCATGGATATGTAGTTCACTACAGCAGAACAGAAACAGGCGTGTCCACATATCTCACAGTGCTGAGAGGCCCCAGTGGGACCCAGCTCGGTCTCCAGCAGTTGTGAAGACTGAGAGGCCGATCAGTGAGATGGTCGGCGTGATGGTGAGCGGGCCGATGTACTCCAGCAGTAACCCAGGTAACCCACACAGACCAATCACGAGCTCCACCAGGCTGGACATAATGATGGCACCCTGAATCTGCGAACAAATAACTCTGTCATAAAGCAAGTAAACAAAAAAAATCCACTCCACAGACATGACAACTTGGATCCAACCACGAGGTGCTGCTACTGATGAGTCCTAGAGGACTCTGAAACAGGTGGTACCTGCAGGTGTGGCTCTGGGTTCCCAGGAATTAAAGTGCTTTAATTTCATAGTGAAACCTGTGAAGTAAAATACATCCTGGATTTGTAGAAATGGTCCAAGACCAAGTGCAGAGTCCTCCTGAACAAGGTTCCACCTGATTCAGGGGTCTGACTTTAGCCAAAATCAGAAACTTTCTCTGAGCTTGAAGTTCACAGGATTCTGACAGACCAGCACTGTCCAGACTGCTGGTGTCTTCCAGGAACCAGTTCAGGTTTAGGTCTGGCCTCTCACCGTCCTCAACCCACTGTGCCCACTGGAAACTACCTGCTGAGGAGCAGTGATCGTACCTCTCTGATTCGAGGCTTCCAGATGTGTGAGGTGTTCAGGGGAAGACTCCAGTTCCCATAAATCTCCTCTGTAGAGGAAAAAACAAATCACATGAGAGCATGTTGTTTATTTACAAAAACCAGTAACAATCAGAGAGACTTCCACCTTCACTGGGACACCTCCACCTGTCCAGACTGAGGATTGCCTGAGCAGGAATGAGGAACGCAAACGCACTTGCCTGAAAGAGAGGAAGTCTACACACAAACACACATAACTGTCAGACTCCGCCCACTCGCCTGACTCCTTAAGTCTTACCTGACTCCCTCAGACTCACCTGACACCCACGGTGGTCTGGATGAGAGTCGTGATTCCAACAGTCGTGAAAATGGTTCCAATCAGCTGACTGATGGTGCTTTGGTCTCCACCAACACACATGGCCTCAGCCAGAAGAAACGGCACAGCCACTGTACCACTGAAGCACGTCAGGTAATGCTGCACAAGGTAAAGCAGGTAACATTCACCTGTTACAAACTTCAGACTGGAGTCAACAAGGTAGCTATCCTAAAAATGTTTCCTCTAACCACCACCAAACCTGCACCAGTGATCAAACTACAAACAACCCCATCCAGTATTCCAGTTTAAACCAGTTTAGAAACAGTTTTGCTTTCTTTCCTTTTTCTGGTTTCCTTTTCACTGAATGGTACAGCAAATAATTCAGTTGTGCTTTTGGCATAATGACAATAAAACATTCTTATTCTTACTGTTTAAACCAGTATAATCCCAGGTTAAACCCAGTAATCATTGTTTAAACCAGTATAATTCTAGTTAAACCCAGTAATCATTGTTTAAACCAGTATAATCCCAGTTAAACCCAGTAATCCCAAGTTAAACCAGTATAACCCCCGGTTAAACTAGTATAATACCAGTTTGAACCTAGTAATCCAGTCTAAATCAATAATTCATGTTGAAATGTCTTAATCCCACAGTAGTCACATTTTCTTCTGTAATTCCAGTCTCACCTGTAATCCCAGTAGAATACACAGGTACCATGGTGGGACATCTTCAATGGTGTAAATCATGTCTGACCCCACCCTCTGCGCATCCATTGGTTGCCTCTTTTTGCTCTCTTCTGTCCTTGGCAGGTTAGGTTTATTGGGTTTGTAGCCCCTCCCCTCATGACTCTGATTGGACAGACAGAAACACCTGGTTATCAGGTGCAGCAAACATCATGATTCACTTATTAACCATTATCGATTATATATTTGTTGCTATCATTAAACAGATGTCAGAAGTCAAAACAACACTAAAGAAGAAGAAAGAACAGAAGATGTCCTTTCTCTGCATATCATATATCATATAACTCCAGGTCCCCACATGGAAGTCAAAGGAACACACACATGTTCTATCTGAGACAGGTCACAGTGACCCTGATTAACCTGTAGACACAAAAACACCCAGTAAATTAGTCTGAAAGGATCCAGGTGTTTCCAGGTGTGCGTCAGTACTTGTAGTTGTACGGAGGTCAGTTGACCACACCTGTTGTTTGTAGGTCAGTGCTCACTGTGTGTTATCACAGTTCAGTATACCCTTCCTTTAGCAAACCTGCCCTGCTATACTTGTCCTACACCCCACCTGCTAAACTCAGTAAAACAAAACTGATCAGTAATGACTTTACCTGAATGTCGGCTTCCATTTCACCTGCGGCTGTTTGACTTCGAGCAGCAAACGGAGACAGAAAGTTCAGTTTTAGAGTCTCAGGTGAAAGTCCACACAGATTAACAGGAATTATTAACCATCACACACACACACACGAGGACTCCTGTCTGTGTGAGAGCCCCAACCTGATTATACACCTGTCTGTGTGTGGACCCCCACCTGATTATACACCTGTCTGTGTGTGGACCCCCGACCTGATTATACACCTGTCTGTGTGTGGAC